AGGGGGGGGGGAGAGGCTTCTCGGAAGCAGGCCCTTTCAAAGGTGGGAGATTGGAGAAGTTTGGCACGGTGATGAATGTCCATTCAGGCAGGACCCTTGAGGGTGTTTTACGCCGTCAAAACTGTTTGGGGTGGGGGGGGAGACACGGTTCAGGGGGGGGGGGGGGGGTTCCAGGGGGGCGATGGGGATGTCGCCTCCGTGTCGACGGTTCCGGGGTCCATCTTGAGCAGGGTCTTGGCCATCGCGACGGCGTTGGCGTGGTGCGGGATCATCTGGCGGAGGAAGGTGGCCGCCATCGTCGCGCCCTCCGCAGAGACGGCCATCTCCTGGTGCATCTGGCAGTCGATCGCCTCGAGGCACTCGTTGAAGTCGTTCTCCGGCGCCTCGCTGTTCGGCTCGTTGCTGCAGAGGAACTTCTTGCCCTTGCAGTGCGGGTACTGCGGTGCCCCCGGGGCGTAGGGACCTAAAGGACGGGTCGAGGACGGATCCAGGCCGCCTCCCCTGGGGAGAGGCGCGATCTCCCTCGCGTGCTCGCCTGTGTTCCACGTGCCGCACTTCTCGTCGAAGTCGGACGGGTCGGGGGCCGTCGGCTCGGGGCAGCCGGGGATTGAGCCATCCGCGCAGTACGGGACGATGGCCCCGTCCGGGTTCGGCAGATTCTCGAGCACGATCTTTGCCGACATGCCCGGGTGGATGTGGCAGAAGTAGTAGACGTATTTGCGGAGCTTCCCCTCCGGGAACTGCGAGGGGTCCGAGACCTACACGACACGACACGACACGAACACCGATCATACATGCCTTATCGTATTGAGCTCTCGGGAGTGGGCTCTCTGAGTCACCTCAAACTCGACGTGGCAGGGTGCGTCGGCGCCGCCGCAGCCCTCATACCAGTCGCCGAAAGGGTAGAAGAAGAAGGGCTCGTATGCGTCGAGGCCGAAGCCACTCTCGTCTTTCGTTTCCGCGACGGTCTTGGTGATGTACTGGATGGTGGACATCGTCCCGTCCACCCCCTCGCCGCCGAGCTCGGGGCACTCTCCCTCGACGGCAATGTTGGGGCAGTCCGGTGCGTCAGCGGGGCACGCGCAGGTGTTGTGCGCCCCTCCCACCTCGTATGCGAACCCGACAGGGTGGTACCTGCGAAGAGGAGAGGCGGGCGGGGGTGGACGCTTGAGCCGCTTGCGTGCCCCGAGGGCGACAGAGCTCTGCGAGAAGCCCACCAGTTCGACTCGTCGCTCTGCACGAAGTAGTATTTCTGTCCGTAGTTCAGGTGAACCTCGGGCGAGACGCCGTGGCACTCCTTGGAGATGTTTTTTGCGTCGGTCGACGTGGAGCCCGCGACCTGAGGCGACGAGGTGGCGAAGTCTGGCGGTGGAGAAGGTTGGCAGCTCGGCTTTGGGCGCTGCCTTGTACAGGCCCACGTCGCCGGCGAATGGATCCCACGAGAGGTGGATGTAGGGGAAGTCCGTGAGGTTGCACGGTTCGCCGAATGGGTGTCCGTGGCTGAACGGGGCGAGCGAGAGGAGGGAGAACATTCTGGAGATCGAGCCGCTGAACGCCTCTGCCGAGAAGAGCGCGGGCCTCTAAGGCACCCAAGGGGCACTCCTCCTCAATCAAAGTCGGCGGTTGCTATGCCATTTTTTTGGCACCCGTACCGCGCTTAGCCGTCCCGGTAGAAGCCGGTGCCGATGCCGCTGCCGTGGACGTCAGCGCAGCAGCAACTGAGCTCTGTCCCGAGCACGTTTCTTGCAGGCTCGCGCGCGCAGGGCTCTTCCGCGAGAGTCGGCGACGGCGCGCAGAGCAGGGGTGGTTGCGGCACTTATAATGGGGCGGTGGGGCTCCCGTGGAGTCCAGCGGTTTCCGGTTACTCCCGATCGTGTTTGTTTTTGATTTTGTGGAACATGACCAGTTTTTTTCTACCTCCGATCACGTGGGGCCTACCGTAGGCTGCCCGCCACATGATATCTAGCCATGTCTTGCCGCCCCGCAGACCACGCAGAGCCCAGTGCCCGGAGAGAGACCAGGCCAGACAGGCCGAGAGTCCACGGCGCGACCAGAGCGTGGGAGCCGAGAACGCGAGAGTACGCGCGGCCACCGCCGCGGCCAACTAGTGGAGAGCGAATGCACGCCCCCGGCCAAAGGGTAGGAGAGAGAAGAGAGCACGCGCGGCCACCTCCGCGGCCAACTAGTGGAGAGCGAATGCATGCCCCCGGCCAAAGGGTAGGAGAGAGAAGAGAGCACGCGCGGCCACCTCCGCGGCCAACTAGTGGAGAGCGAATGCACGCCCCCGGCCAAAGGGTAGGAAGGAGAAGAGAGTACGGGCGGCGGTGTCCGCAGCATGCGGATGTCACGGCGACGAAGGCGAGATCTCGGAGGAGCGCCGGCATCGACCGCGGCGGCACCGGCGGGGCGGCGGATTGGTCTTGGGTTATCCGGGGTGAGACTGCTAGGCGTCCTCTTTCGCCACGAGCAGCCTGGCCTGCCAATCATCCAGGATAGTCGCATTGGTCATTCCGTCTCGCGGCACATCCAAGTCCACAAAAGCTGGTGACGTCCACGCGTCGAGCGCTGCGTCATCCTTGGCTACCCCCACAATGACATCATGGACTTGCCCGACGGTCATCATGCCTTCGTGAGGCACACCTGGCAGTTTGTAGACCTTGACCGTGCTCTTCCAACGCTCGCACACGGACAAGCTGTCAGAATGGACCGTCCCGTCGCCATCTCCGATTTCGACCGAAGCTCCGATCTCTGCGAAGGCCCCGGGGAAAGTGAGGTGGGAAAAGGTGCGCACGTTATGACTGTAAATGCAGTGCGTCGGGACACCAGGATCTTCGATCGTCCCGACAGACAAGGCATATTTCATGTGCTCCGCCTCGTCGTGCATGAGCAGCCTCCTGAACAGAGATGGCAGGCCGGAAGCCTTGATCTCTTCTGGCTGCGCCCATGGCCCTTGGAGCGTGACGTAGCTTCTGTCGGGTATGGAGTCGTCCACGCCCGGCGACATCCAGTACGAGGATGGAAACTCTCGGGCCAGCCGCGTGAAATCCGTGAGGAGCCAATCCATGAGGAGCTCCTTCAGTACAGCCCCAAACCCGTCCACGGCTTTTATCACAAAGTGTTCCTCGCTCACCTGCTCGGCCATAGGTGGGTCGCACGTGAACTTGGCAGCGCCTGGCTGGCCCGGGGGCGTGTAGGCAAAGGCCATTCCGCCGACGAGTGCTGATAGCGCATTAACTGCGCCATTGAAGGGGCCTCCGACCGGCACGAAGGCGTGCACGTTCTTTTGCACCCAACTCTTGCCCCCGCGCTTTGCGTTTGCCCATCTCAGGAACGCGTGCGTGAACGGAGCCGCCATCGATAGGCCAGTCAGCACAACCGGCTGACCATTCTTCGACACCGCGTCTGAGATTGTCCTGAAGAAGCGAGGGAAGGCTTCTTGCTCCCAGTCGGCAACGCTCAACCGCCAGTCATGGCCCATCGGGAGGATATCGACGTCTCTGACAAACCCTTCGGATTCCAGCCGTTGGGTTAGGTTGCCGTACACCTCATATCCGAAAACCGTCAAGCCAGCCCAACCCTCGGCAACCCTCACCTGCACATGCTCCGGAGACTTGGTCCGGTTCGTCGTCGGGTCAAAGGTGAGTCCCAGCTGCGCGTGGGAACTGTGAAACGCACAAACTGCGGCAAACTTGTCCAAGTTCACCCACGCCGTCGTCCACGTTGGCGTCCACGGACTGCACGGATGGAGCCATCGCGCATCATTGAGATCTTGGTGCCCCCCGTGGGTGCGAGTCGGGTTGTTGGCACGCGTCCCTTTTCTTTTTTTGCGTGAATCATACACATGCAGAGAAATGGACGGTCGTGCGAGATCCCGGCAGCGGGGAAAACTCGTTTTGGAAGTTTAGGAAGTTAATTCATTTTACCACATGGAAGTTTACGGTGATTGTTTTCATCCCTGTTCTTGCTTCTTCGCCTCGGGGGCTGCACGGTACGCGGGTCCGGCACTGATGCCGTGAACAGCTGAGGCACGAGCGTTTCCTCGCTCGCGCCCTTGGGGGGGGACAACTCCCCGCGCGCGGCCTTGTGCCACTGGCCGCCGACGGGTTTGGGGTCCGATGACATGGCGTCTCTTCACACTCGATCCGCCTGTCTGTTCACACCTTCTTTCTGCCCACTTCACAATGTGGCAGGGGTTCGTTAGCCCAGAAAAGAAGTTTAATAAAATACGCACACAAAAATGTTTTTACACCGCCACGACGCCAGTCCGCTTGTGGCATCACTCCGACACACGATTTTTCACTCCCCACAGCCGCCAACCCAGGATTGGCCGCTCGAACCGAAGACCGCCGCCCGACATATGATCGGCGGCTCACTTCGATGTCAGCCGCTCGACCTATGGTCGGCGGACCTGGGTTCGAATCTGAGGACCTGGGTTCGAATCGCCGTTGGCGGTTCATAGGGTAGATAAAAATCTTCTGGAGCGTTCCCAGACGTTATTCACAGGCGCGTGGGATGCGTCGGGTGTGCATGGACATTCTTGTCCTGAGAACGAGCAGATCACCCCCTCAGTGACTAGCCGATGCGCATCGCATCCTAGTCGCTGGACCCACACAGCTCGTCCCTAACCTGCATGGGGTCGTCACGCTCTTACGGCACGGTGACGCAACCTCCGTCTGCTCACCACCTCTGTAGTGGGTGGGCGTCGTAGCCTTCTGTGGTGTCACGCCACAACAAAGGCGCGGAGAGGGTGAAAGACAGCCGCGGCCAGCGGCTTCGTGAAGAGGTCAGCTATCTGCCCTTGCGTTCGGATGTGGATGAGCTTGACACGCTTCGCGTCTTTCACCTGCTCGCGTAGGAAGGCGATCTGCGTTGCAACGTGTCGCATACGCTTCGAGGAGGTGTTGCCCTCGCTAAGGAGCACGGCCGCCCTATTGTCGCAGAAGAGCGGCATTGTGCATCCGAGGTCCGACTTGTTGCCCTTGTAGTCGGGTAGGTCCTCGGCCATGAACTTGATGGTGTCCGAGACCGCGATGGCCGCTTGTGTGGCCTTGGTCGCAATGGCGTACTCGCCTTCGGACGATGAGGTGGGCGTGGACTTAAGGCGCCCAGCGTGTGCAGAGACAGGCCCATTGCACACAAAAATCACGTATCCCGCCTGAGGCTTTTCCCCGCCATGAGAGGTGTCCGAGAAGATGATCGGCACGAACCTGTCGTAGTCGAAGCTGGCTAAGTCGGCATGCTCTACGATGTGATCGGCGAGGTTGCCATCTGCCTCGCGGCGATAGGTGATCGTCTTGTCCCTTGTCTTGTCCAGGTAAGCGAGGACGCCAAGGGCAATGTTGAAATGGCGCTCCCCGCCCCCCTTTAGGAACTTTGAGAGCGTCGAGTAGGCGTAGCCAATGTCTGGTCGGGAGATGTTGGCCAACCACCCTATCTTGCCAACAATTTCGGCGTATCGTGGGTGCATCATTTCTCCCTCTTCGAGGTGGGTGAGATTGGTGATGTCGTCGTTGCACGGTACGGCGCGCTTACTAGGGCGGGGGTCGTCGCCCAGGAACTCCTTGACGGTATCTTGAATGAAGAGCTTTTGGTGAAAGCTAACGGTGCCTTGCTCTAGGTCCTGCTCGACGGCAGAACCGAACACCCAGGTGAGTGGGCCATTGTCGCGCAATGTGAATCGCTCTTGGAGCATGCTCACAAACGCATCGCGAAAGTCTTGGTTGGAGCAGGCGATCACGATGTCGTCAACGTACACGACGAAGAGCAGGGTGTTGCCGCCTTTGGAGTACCGCCACAGGCATGGGTCAACGACGCACTGGACGGCGTTGATGGAGAGTAGGAACGATCGGAGCGTCTCTTCCCAGAGTGCTCCGCTCTGCTTCAGACCGTAGATGGCCTTGACCAGTCGTAGTCCACGCTCGGGACGCCCCCTCTTGCGCGTGTGATCACCAGTGTATTTGAAGGTGTAGTCGAATCCGTCACCCTCAAAGTGCCATCCGGCAGGAAAGCGCATGTAAATCTGGACGCCCCCTTCGATGTAGCCGTTGAGGTAAGCCGTCTTGATGTCAAGACTCGTAAGGGCGAGGTCGTTGCCTGCGGCTATCGCCATAAGTAGTCGCAGCGTCTCATATCGAACCGTGTTGCTGAACGTGTTGAAGTAATGTTCGCCCAGCCGCTGCATGAAGCCTCGAGCGCAGACGCGCGTCTTCCAGCGGTCTGGGCGGCCGTTCTCATCACGTTTGACATCTCGCACAACTGTTGGGTCGATGACATGGACGCCGGCGGGGATGTCCTCTACGGAGAACGTCTTATTTTGTTGGAGTGCCGTTAGCTCCTCAGTGTATGACGGTATCCATTTCTCTTTGTCAGGGCCCGTTAGGGCAGACTTGCAGCTTGGGGGGATGCCGACCGTGTATGTGATGTCGGGGTCATCGCCTCGTAACATCTTCTGCTTGGTGATGAACTGCTCGATCGCTTCCTCGTCACCGTCTTCGAGAGCCTCGCTGAGCTCCTCGAAGTCTGTCCTGTGCATGCGCATTGTATGCGTCATGTTCGCAGTCACGAGCTGCGCGCCGTCCACCCCCTCAGCCGAGGCTTGGGCTGTAGGCTGCTGGCTGTCATGGCGCCCAGCGACGCTCGCCCAAGTCACGTCAGTACCTTTGGGCCCTCCGGGCACAGCGGTCACCCTGGGCGGTGGGACCGGAGTTGCCCAGGTGACATCGTCCCCGGGGGCGCCACCCCCTGGAACAGCTGTCACCCAGGTTGGTGGAAGTGTCGGGTCAGACGACGGGCTGTTGACGGGGCCACCCTTGATGGCGTTGTCGCGAGCGCGCTTGGATATCTTCTTGAGCTGCTTGCTTTTGCCGCCGACTAGCACCCCCTCTGTGGGAAGGCCCCGCGAGGGTGCAGTGGTGCTCCCAGCGTCGGCTCCATCAGCGCTCGCGTCGATTATTGATTGCGCTGTGCCAAAGACAGCGTCGTCGGCGTTCGGGATGGTCGTGTCGTACGCCGTCCAGTATGTTTCTGGGTACATCCTCTCGGCGACACGTATTTGCACGCTTCTTCCCGTCTTGGGCGAGGTGACATCGAGCACGTCACCAGGCTTTGCTTTGGCAGGGACTCGGAAGAGTATCACGTCCTTTGCCTGGGGGCGTTCACTCCCCGCGACGATCGGAGGCGCTAGTGATGGCCCGCTGTCGACGCGTCCCTTAGGCGTGAACGACTCGTCTACCCGGATGTTCCGGGTGATCTTGTACTTGCCTTTTGTTAAGTCGTTGGGCGATTCGCTGTCGGGGATGTAAATGACCATTCCACGCGAGTATCGCGCTGGCCCGATGCACCATCCCTCTGTCGCGATTGACTCGAGCTTGGCACGTCCTTGGATAGGCTCGTTGAGTACCCAGGCCCGGCATCCAAACACACGCAGGAAGCGCACGTTTGGCTTGCGCCCTTTTAGACGTTCATAAGGGGTGGTCCAGGCCACATCGCTTGGGTCGGGGCTCGCGCCTTTAATTTTGGATCCGGCTCGGATCGTGCGTCGAGGCGTGATGTTGAGTCGTAGCGCTGCTTGCGTGAGCGCCATTGCCCAGTGGCAGGTAGGGAGTCCGCATTCAAGCAGCATCGCCCTCGCCACCGAACAGAGCCGCCACATCGCCTGTTCGGCGATGGCGTTTTGGTTCGGCGAGTATGGAGAGCTGGTGGTGTGTTTAATCTCGTTCGTGGTGAGGTATTCGGCCAGCGACTTGCTCATGAACTCCCCACCATTATCAGTGTGTAGTTGGCGACGCTGGCTGATGAAGTATTCCGACATGTCTTGCTCGAATCGGGCGTACTGGACTTCGAGTTCACCCTTTTCTCGCATCGGATATA